ATATATTATATATATACATATATATATTTATACTAAAAATAATAATAATAAAGATCACATTAAAAATGAAGATTGTTAGATATCAAAATTGTTATTACATTAACCGATGAAAACTACAAAAAATATCAATATTATGATAGACATATACCAGTATTCTAATTAAATAGGACATTTTCTATTTTATGTAACATCAATGCTTTCTGGTTTGCATATTATTTCCAATTTAGATATGCTAAATGATAATCCGTCTGTTAGAAATTACTTTATTACATGTCTTTATATTCTAAAAGACCATAAATAACAATCCATAAAAAGACGTCATTGTTACTTCGCAGCTAACAATAATCTTTCAGTCACGAATTACTACTCGACGCAACAACTATCAATAGCTTTAAATTTAATTTAACTCAATTGCAGTACGTAAATAGATAAAACTAGTGCCAACTCATGTATATTTGTGGTCGAAAATTCGAAATTGAAGACTACACTTAGAAGTTTCTGACTTGTATTAACGTCAAAGTACATAAAAAATGATAAAGTAATAAATTTAAACAGTAACCATTACTAATATATATTAAAGTATTGTTCTTTAACGACAATTTAACAATTATATTTAATTTGTCGTAGAAATTTCAAAGTCAAGTCAAGAGCCAAAACGAAAAGAGATAAGTGGAAGTTGTTTCATGCCACCGATTTTCAATCTTTGATGTATCCCAACTTTATCATAAGCAAAATTCTCGGAATATTCCCATACAGAATTAAGGCTACGTCTTTTGAAATTTCTAAACCGCGTTATATTCTATGGACTATTATTTTCTGCGTAATCTGTGTTTATGAGTTGACAATGTTGTACAAACTCAATCTTCTCTCTGAAAAAATCAAAGTTGAAGTACCCAAGATTATCTCGTTGAATTTCTCCTTTTTATATGGATTTTTTGTAACGGTCATCTCTTATGTCTTGAGCGGTCCGCGAATGCGTTTACTTCAGACTGTATCAGATATTTCTTCAAGATTGCCCCAGAAATCATATCAAAAACTTTCCAAATTAATACACGCTAAGGACATATTCGGATTTTTCTTTCATTTCTGGCTAGCGTTAATATATTCCTTATATTCTGAAACGACGATTTTCGGTTTACTCGAAATGTCCAGAGTTTTAATAATCTTATTGGCATTTCAAATGGATATGCTATACATAAATTGCGTTTGTGTCTTAAAGACATGTTTCAAGGATATCAATGATAATCTGGAGAGTCTACAAGAGCTCGTGATGAATAATATTCCTAGATGGATATATCATAACCAGAGACATCCGTTCTTACTGATAAAACTTAAGGCTCTGAAGAAACAGCATCTGATGATAAGTGACACAGTGCAGATGCTTAACATGATTTTCAGTCTGCATCTTCTTGCTTCTATAGCTGTATCTTTCAAGCAGATAATATTCTACTTGTATTTCAATGTAATACAATGGCAAAACGGGATATCGTTAAATCGAGACAGGATTTATAATGCATATTTCATATCTTTCTTAATATATTACTTAATAAGATTGACATTGATAGTGTGGGCTTGTGAAACTGGTAAAAATGAAGCGATAAAAATTGGCACTACCATTCACGATGTGCTTAACAGTATCAGCGATGTGCAAATTAAAGATGAGGTAGTAAAGAAGAATTTCACTTTATTTTAAATTTCTTACAAACATATATGTTGCAATTTTTATATATTAGATTTAAATAATTTATATTTAACTAATTTAATTTTTATCATTTCTGTTTTATAATTTTCGTATTTATTATATTTTGATTTATTGTTACAGTTAAATTTGTTCTCCTTGCAAATATTGCATTGCAATAATACATTCTCCGTGAAAGGTCTCACGGTAGATGCAACATTGCTCACCGTGGTAAGTGATTAAATATGTTCCTTAATTAAGTCTAAATCATTTATCCATATTGCATAATTCGCTTTTAGATGGTGAGTAGCGTTTCCACATATCTATTAATCTTGATACAATTTTTGATCATGACGCATTCTTGCGACAGCAAAGCAAATGCAATTAATTATACACAAACAGTTTAATTATTACAAAGGTTTGGGAATATTGAAAACTTTTGATCTTTATGTGTTAAATATTTTGTTGTGAGTATAATTTTTCAACGTTTTTATTTCTAAAAAATCATATATATATATATGTATCAATGTATTCACAATGTCAGATAAAAATCTTGTACCACGTATATTGATAATCAATGACACAAATAAGATTTTATTTGTTCAAATGTATGTGTACCATACTAATATTATATATAAATTAATATAAACGTGTTTCATGTCGAATAATGTAATTTAACAGTTTAATTGTCCTTTCATTAAAAATTAAATGTTAGTATTATGGTTAATATTATCGAACCATCGGCTAATTTATATTTTAGATTTCTTGTATCGATTAATTCTTAGAACCTTTTTGTCAAATCAATATTTATCAAATTTAATACGAATAACTTTTAAGGTAAATTTAACGCTTAAAATTGATTAAATCAATTTGATAAATTCAAATTGTACATATATTTCTTATTCGAGTTTCAGTTATCAATAAAAATTTAATTAAATTTTCATTGAGAGATAATAGATAAATTGTTGCAATGATAATGACGTTTGATTTTTAGTATCTTATTTGTTTTTATACATGAAAAAAGTCAACTAAATATAATTTTTCATTCATATACTATATAAAGTACTTAATAATTTCAAATCGATCAAAAGAATACGTAAAGCAATTTAGATATTAGTTAGATCAATTTTAATCTAGGAAGAAGCATTCATTAATATACATTATTATAAATTAGTGCTCATAAAAATGCGGAGTACAATTTATTTAATAATATTTTAATGTGTAAAATTGATGTACAAGTAAAGTATTTATTATAAAATTAAATATTGTTATTTTCAATTATCATTTAATTATGTATTATGATAGGAAAAGTTATACGAATATATTTTTAATTGAATATGTACAAATTTTTTTATTAAAAACTACAGTAATAAAGATCACATTATTATAATATTAAAGATACAGATTATTAGACACCAAAATTTTTATTTCATTGTCTGGTTGAGACTCTAAAGAACATATATTAATGTGTGGTAGAAATATCAATTATTGCAATTTAACTAAATAATTTTTATTTTATGTAATATCGATGCTTTCAGGCATATTATTCCAAATTTAGATGTGCTAAGTGATAATCCATATGTTAGAAATTACTTTGCTACATGTCTTTATATTCTAAAAGGTTATAAATAATAACCAAAAGGCATTGTTGTTTCTTCGTAGCTAACAAATGACTTTTTAGTCGCGAGACGCTACTCAACGTACGCTGCAACTATCTACAGCTTTAAATTTAATTTAATTCAATCGGAGTACATAAACCATAGGACTAGTGTATGCCAATTCATATATATTTGTGGTGGACGTTTCGAAATTAAAGACTACACTTAGGAGTTTTTTGTTTATATTAACGCTAAAGTGCATAAAAATGACAAAGTATTTAATAAATTAGAGTGGCAACCATTACTAATATTGTTCTTCTCTCACGACAATTTATTAATTATATTTAATTTGTCGTAGAAATTTCAAAGTCAAGTCAAGAGTCAAATCAAAAGGAAAAAAGTGGAGGTTGTTCCATGCTACCGATTTTCAATCTTTGATGTATCCCAACTTTACAATAAGCAAAATTCTCGGAATATTTCCATATAAGATTAAGGCTTCGTCTTTTGAAATTTCTAAACCGCGTTATATTCTGTGCACTATTATTCTCTGTGTAATCTGTGTTTATGAATTAATAATGTTGTATAAACTCAATCTCTCTGGAAAAGTCAGGATTAATGTACACATACTTATTTCGTCAAATTTAACCTTTTTATATGGATTGCTTCTAACGGTTATTTCTTGTATCTTGAGCTGTCCGCGAATGCACTTACTTCAGACTATATCAGATATTTCTTCAAGACTACCACAGCAGTCATATCAGAAACTATCCAAATTAATACACGCTAAGGATATTTTCGGTTTTTTCTTTCACTTCTGGGCAACATCAATGTATATACCATATTTTGAAATTCCCGATTTATATTTCCAAGGATTCGGCAGAATTTTAGTCAGCTTGTTGGCATTTCAAATGGATATGCTATACATAAATTGCGTGTGTGTCATAAAAGCCTGTTTCAAGGAAATCAACGATAATATGGAGAATTTACGGGAGCTTGTGATGAATAATATTCCCAGATGGATCTATCATGAGCAGAGACATCCGTTCTTGCTGATAAAACTTAAGGCTCTGAAGAAACAGCATCTGATGATAAGTGACACAGTGCAGATGCTTAACATGATTTTCAGTCTGCATCTTCTTGCTTCTATAGCTGTATCTTTCAAGCAGATAATATTCTACTTGTATTTCAATGTAATACAATGGCAAAACGGGATATCGTTAAATCGAGACAGGATTTATAATGCATATTTCATATCATTCTTAATATATTACTTTATAAGATTGATATTGATAGTGTGGGCTTGCGAAACTGGTAAAAATGAAGCGATAAAAATTAGCATCATCATTCATGATGTACTTAACAGCACCAGAGATGTACAAATTAAAAATGAGGTAGTAAAGAAAAATATAGTTTAGTTAAAAATTTTCTTTCAAATATGTGTATTGCGATCTTTAGACATAAGATCCAATAAGTTATATTTAAGTTTATCGTTCTTGTTTTACTTCACTTTTGTATCTATTATCTTTTAATTTGTTGTTGCAGTTAAATCTGTTTTCCTTGCAAATATTACATTGCGATAATACATTCTCCGCAAAAGGTTTCAATATAAATGCAGCCTTGGTCACTGAGGTGAGTAATTAAATATGTTCCTTAATTAAATATATATTATGTACATATTTTATATTTTGCTTTTAGATGGTATATGGCATTACCACGTATCTGTTAGTCTTAATACAATTTTTAATCATTGCACATTCTTGCGACAGTAAGTAAGATGCAATTAATTATACACATACGATTTAATTGATATTAATATAAAGAAATGCGTTTGGAAATATTAAAAATTTGTTTGTTTTTATGGGTGAAATATTTTGTTTTGTCGTTCTGTCGATATAATTACTTACCCGACATTTTCATTTTTAAAGAATCATATACAATATGTATGTATATCTATGCACAGAGTCGGATAAAAATTTTGTATCACATATATTAACGACAACTGACATAAATAAGGTTGTAAGACTTTGTTTAAATGCGTTATATATGTATATATATTAATGAATAAATTGTACCTTTAAATTAAATATGTCATACAATTTTACATTTTAATTGTTTTCTCGTTAAGCATAAAATGTATTAAATAGCAAATAACAATGAAATAATAAAATTGTTTAATTTCTATATTGCTGATGTATAAAAATATATATAATACATAAATAAATATAAATGTAATTATTTTCTCAAATGTCTGAAATGATATAACATATATTCTGTAACTGAATTGCAATTTTTACAGTTTTTCTTCCTAAAAATTGTACAATATTTATATTTTTAAATACTATAAGTTTGTTTTATCAACATTTATTTAATGTATTTTGTACTTCGTATAAAAAGGAGATTTTTAATGTCGACGATAAATTAATATAAAATAAACAATAAAATAAATTTATCAAATTTTCTGGAAAATACAATCGTTTTTGCAAATTAATGCTAAGTACATATATATAATAATAATGAGTTTATTATGTTTGCAACATAATTTGTATTATTCAATAATAATTTGCTTATGATAATTATTTATAAATAATTATTATAAGCGAATTATAAATAATGATTTATTTAATGTAAAAGAAATATAAAAAAAAATTAATCTGTCGATGAAAGAAAAGGAACTATTAATTTAATTATCAGTTATTAAATTATTTATAATTTAAAAAACCAACATTTTTAATTATCTTCATACCAATTTATTTTTATTTTACGTCAATTGTACACACATACACGCATATATACACAATTACAATAGAATAAATATTTAAAATTAATATTATTAAACTGATATTGTGATATATAGAAAGCCAAATATTTCTTTAGTCTAAAATAGGATAGTAATTTTTAAAAGTTTTCAAATTATTCCATATAAATTCTAATTAGTTGATGCTTTTCATTTACATAATTTACAATTTTAATTCGATTGATGATTCATACATCAACAATTACTTTATTAGGTTTTATGCGCATGCGGCTCAAGAAGAATAGACGCTGATCGAAGAAAGCCATTCATTTCGTGGCTAACAAATAATATCTGACTTCTGAGTCGTGTCTCACTATTTGATGTAGAAACTACGTTTTGTGATACAGTTTTAAATTTAGTTCGCTGGATGCATATAAATTACGTGCAGTGCATATCAATTTACATACTTGTGGAGGAAAGATTAAAAAGATAGTTTTTGCAATAACGTTCGTATTAATGTTACAATGCATTAACAATCATAAAGTGATTAATAATTTTTAAGCATTAGTCTATTATTGACAGATAAAATTGTTTTCATAATTCTGTTAATTATGTTCGATCTGTCGTATAAATCACAAAAACGAATCAAAAAACGAAAAAGATGGCTATTTCACGCCACGGACTTTCAATCGTTGATGTATCTCAATTTCATTTTTTGCAAGATTCTAGGAATATTTCCATACAATGTCACGGTTTCGACTTTTGAGATTTCCAAACCCCAATACGTTCTGTGGACTATTATTACCTGTGCCATTTGCATTTATGAGCTAATAATGTTCTATAAACTCAATTTTTCTGGAAGAGTCAGACTTGAAGTACCCAAGACTATTTCGTATAATTTCCATTTTATACTTGGAGCATTCGCAGCAATTGTCTGGTATGTTTTGAGCGGCCCACGAATACGTTTGCTCCAGACTGTACAAGAAATTTCATCAAGATTGCCCCCGGAGTCATATCAGAAGCTCTCCAAGCTAATTCATGCAAAAGATATCATCGCTTTTTTCTTTCTGTTATGTCAATTGTTAATGTTACCTTTAAATTCTTCTGAGATGGCTATTGATACTATGTTGGAGCCATTGAGACTATACATCGCTATGATAGTGTTTCAAATGGATATGCTATATATGAATTGCGTTTGTGTCTTAAAAGCCTGTTTCAAAGAAATTAATAACACTCTGGGGAATCTACGGGAACTCGTGATGAATGATATCTCTAAACGAATCTATCATGAGCAAAGACATCCATTCATGCTAACAGAACTCAAAGCTGTCAAGAAACAACATCTGATGGTCAGTGGCACAGTACAAATGCTGAATATAATCTTCAGCCTGCAGCTTCTCGTTACCATAATGGTAGTTTTCAAGCAGATCACTTTTTTCCTGTATTTTCATATAGTGCAGTGGCAAGACGGATTATCCATTAATCTGGATAAGCAGATTCGCAATGAATTTTTTGTATCATACATTATATATTATTTTATAAGAATAACGTTAATAGTGTGGGCCTGCGAAACCGGCAAGAATCAAGCAGTAGAAATCGGCACTACCGTTCACGATGTGCTTAATATCATCAGTGATGAGCAAATGAAACATGAGGTAATAAAGGAAATGTCATATATGTAATCTATAATTTTCTAAAAATATTTAGTGCGCCATAGATACTATTTTTGTATTAAATTCAGTAAATTTATAAATTAGTTTTTTAATCTAATTTATTCTTTGATATATGTATGTCGTTGCAGTTGCAGCTGTTTTCCTTGCAAATATTGCAATGCGATAATACTTTCTCCGCGAAAGGTCTCACTGTGAATGCTGCACTTCTCACTACGGTAAGTAAATGATAGTTAGCTCTATTTAGTTGAGTATATATTGTTTAATTTGTCACTTTAATTCTAGATGGCGAGTAGTATCACTACGTATCTATTAATTTTAATACAATTCTTGGGTATCTCGCATTCTTGTGATGGACAGACTGTAATCAATATTACAGAAACAATTTAATTAAATGAAAGTATAATCGAACAAGGAAATGCGTTAGTAAGTATTGAAAACTGTTGGTTTTCGGTACTTCGTATCGAGTAAAATACAATCGTCCAACTTTCCTACTTCTGTAGAGACATACGTACACCAGATAAAAATAAGAACATATCACGCATAGTTAACAATTAATGGCGCAAATAATACTTTAATATTTTATTTAATAATTTATTTAAGTGGGCCGTATAATGCTGATGAAGTCACCGAACGTTATTTACGTTATAACGTACTCTATGTTCGCTATATTTAAAAAAAATAGCTTTCTTTATAGTTAATGTGACTGGCCATATCAAGCTGTGAACGCTATGTTTGCTATATTCGCGACATTGCGAAACCAACACATCACGAAGTGTTCGGTTCTCGATTATTTTTTTGAAAACGTCATTTACGTTACATGCAAAATAGGATCGAGAATAAATATTTTACTGCCGTGTTTAATTGCCGTGTGGTAAATTATCAGTAAAATGTTACATGTATACACTCTATTCAACAAGAGAATGACCTCGGATCGTCCGTTTTGCGCAGGTTTTCACAGCATTGTACTACAGTTTGCAAATACTAGTATACTTGTACGCCCGGGCGTACAACCGTATTTACGTATACGGTAATAGATACATCCCCATTTTGTCGGTTATATCGCCTACTATGCGCAGATCGAGGTCATTCTCTCGTTGAACAGAAAATGAAAATCTTATTGAAAAAGTTAGAAAATATAAATATATTTAGCAGAAATCAATTGAAGAATACCGAAATCAGCAAATAAAGGACAATGCATAGAAGAAAATTAGCAAGGTTTGAAATAAATCAGATAAATATATTTTTTAATTTATATTTATTACAAAAACTGTGTATATATATATATACATAAACTACGCAAAAAAATCCCTTTTATAACATCGTTTATACGTTGTAGTTTGCAAGAATTACATTTTTTTATGCATGTATTTTTTTCCTTTTAAACTAAAATCTAACTTTTTATTTTGAGCTAAAATCTGACTTAACATTTATTATCAATAAAAACGTTTATCCAAAACATAGCTTTCGGTGTAGCCATTCAGTATAGCGAGCATAGCATACGTAGCGTACATAGCACATAACGTTCTGTAGAGCCTCAGAATAAGACGTAACAAATAGATCAATAAAAAATATTACATTTATTATTAACTTCAATTAATTTTACACGTTATTTATTATAAATACTACAAATAATTTTGAAAGTAAATTTAACATTTAAAATTAACTTAAACAATTCGTTAAATTCAAACAGTATATTTGTTATTTGAATTTCCTTATCAATAAAAATTTAATTAAGTTTTCATTAAGAGATGATAAATGAATTATTGCAATAATAACGTTTGACTTTTTTAAATATTTTACTTGTTCTTAACTTATTTTACTTGTGCATAAAAAACAGAAGGCACCAACTAACATAATTTCTTATTCATAAACTATATAAAGTATTTATTAATTTCACACCAGTTAAAAGAATACATCAATTTAGATATTAGTTAGATTAATTTTAATCTAACTAAGAAATCTAACTAGAAAATAGCATTGGACTTGTAATATATTTCAATTCAATTCATTTACATAATTTCGGTTATAATTGTTTGTGTTAGTAGTATCTACAATTTTACAATACTTTAGCTTATAATAAATACATTTTAGACATAAATTTATCTTCTATAAAAATGTCTTATTTATTATTATATATTTTAATAGACTAATCAAGACAAATTTAAATCGTAATATCTTGCACAAATTTAATTTAAGAAATAAAATTATTGACTTTTTTATTCGAGTAAAAAATGTATAACGTTATTTTTATAGTTTAAATGTCGTTACAGTCAATATTTTAACTAAATATTATTATATAAGATAATAAATTTTGTTGACAACAAATATACTTAATTTCAAAGTAATAGTATGAAAACAGTATATCCTTGATTATAAGTAAGCAATTGTTTTAACAATATGAATATTGCAAATTAATGTACAAATTGGTACAGTTAATACTTTCTGTTTTATACGTGGCTCAATTAGTCTTATATATGATCTATATATGCTGGATAATGTATCGTATATCATGACGAATACTTCATTATTTTATGCGCTGCATCCCAAGGGTGATAGTACTGAACAATGGCATATTTTTACTTAATGGAAATAAATAATTTCTGAACTCCGTCTTATTATTTCATATAGCAACTACTCGCAGTTTCAAACTTAAATTCATCAGGTGTAGACCGATAACGAGAGAACGTGTGTTAGTTTATGCATTCATCGTGAAAAAAATTATTTTAAAAATTACACTTCAGAAAGAAGCTTTCGCAATTATTTTATCGATGTCAAAGTGTATCGGTAATGTAATGAATTATTAGACTATTGTTTTAAATTGTAATTCGCACGTGACATTTCGCTAATCATGTTCAATTCATCGCCGAAATTTCAAAGACAAGTGAAAAGCAGAATGTGGAAAAGGTGGCAGTTATTCCATGCTACAGACTTTCAATCTTTGTTGTATCCTTGCTTTGTTTTCTCTTCTATTTTTGGAGTGTTCCCGTACAAGATCAACGGTTCGATCTTCGAGCCATCAAGATCGCGTTACATTTTATTAATTATTATTGTCTGCGTCACCTGCGTTTATGAACTGACAAAGATTTATGAAGTCAACATATTAAATAACACGAAAAGAATAACCGAAAAAATTCAGGACAACTTTTTTTTTACGCTTGCAAGTTTCACAATAATAGCCTCATCTATTGTGAGTGGTTCACGAATGCGCGTACTACAAACCATATTAAAAGTCTCTTCAAAATTGCCTCCAAAATCGTTTAAGAAACTATCTAAGTTGATACACACTAAAGATATTTTCATTCTTTTTTATTTAGTGGGACAATCGGTGGCGTCACTTGTACACTTCCATGAATCAAATGAGTTGTTTTTCGCAACAGCAGTAATGGAACATTACATTAGTTTACAAATATTACAATTGAATATGTTGTATGTGAATTGTGTTTTTATATTAAAGGCTTGTTTCAAAAGAATCGATGACAATCTAATGATTCTACGAGAATTCGTGATTAAAGATAAATCGCATATTCCTAGACTGATTTATTACCACCAAAGAAACCCACTTCTGTTGGAAGAACTTAAGGCTCTACGAAAGGAACATCTGATGGTTAGCAATACAGTGCAGATGCTGAATAAAATTTTCAGTCCGCAGCTCCTCGCGAGTTTTGCCATAGCCTTCATCGAAATTACTTTCGAAATATACTTTAATACAGTGCAGTGGAAAAACGGGCTGTCTATCAGTTTGACTAAACAGGTTCATAACTCGTTCATAATATCCTACTTGACGTATCACATTCTAAAAGTACTAATAATAATATGGAGCTGTGAAGCCGGCAAAAATCAAGCAATAAAGATTAGCACCACTGTTCATGATGTTCTTAATAGTACCAGCGACAAAAACATAAAATATGAGGTATAACTAATAAAAAAATTTAACTTCTAGATATATTCTTTAATATTTCATATACTAATAATTTTTGTATATACATAATATATGACCGATCTTATAATTATACTTTATATCTATTTGTAAACCGCTAATAATGTTTTTCTATCTGATGTTGCAGTTGCACCTGTTTTCTTTACAAATACTACATAGCAACAATATATTTTCTACGAAATGTCTTACTGTGGATGCGACTTTTCTCACTGCAGTAAGTAATCAATTTCATTTACATTAATATTGAAGATTTAATATAGAATCGATTTAAATATCTTAAAATTAAACTACAGCATTTATTTTCTTTTAGATGGTGGGTACTGTCACCACATATCTTTTAATTTTAATTCAATTCTTAGTCTCATCGCATTCTTGCAATGGAAAGATTACAAAAAACGTAATTTAAAAAAGTATTAAAATTCTATTTAAAAATAGTATAATAAAAAAAAACATTTTTGGAAACTAAAATATCATTCTTTTTACTATTTCGAATGTAACATAATCACCTGAAATTTTGTATTTATACAAATACACTTAAACGTATAAATGTATATGTATTAATATGTTTAAGTACAGTTTAATAGTAATATGATATTACATAATAAACAATATTATATAAAAATATTCTATTTTAATTTATTACGTCTTAATATACTTATCAAGAAATAATTTGCAAATTATAACGATCTTCATATAAATTAAGTTCGGAAAATTAATATCGATAAAAACTTACTTCAAATAAAAATGTGTAGGTACTAAAATTCATATCAAATATATTACAGTACATTAAAAATCAATATTACAATTATATTTATCAACATTACAATTATATTTCAATCACATTGTCTTTTTTTTAAAGGTGCCAAAAAGATATGAAGGCTATTCTCACTTTTTTGAATGGAATTATATGATTTTTTTTACATAATATAATATATATATTTTTTAATTCCTGTAATTATTTTGTATAGAAGTATTAAGTTAGAGATATAAAATCCAAGAGTTTAGATATACATACATACACATATATGTATAACATACATATATGTTATATACACACATACATATAAATGTATACGCGCGCGCGCGCGCGCGCGCGCGCGTGTGTGTGTGTGTGTGTGTGTGTGTGTGTGTACATTATGTGTGTGTACATTATGTGTGTGTATCCTAATTTGGACGAATATTAATAAATACTTTAAAACTAACAATTAACATAGATAATTATTATTCGATTTTTTCTGTTTTATATGTGCAAATGTTTTGTATGTTTTATATGATTTTCCTAATGAGCATCTAGATGTGCAGAATGATGGATCTATTCGTTACAGCAATTACGTCCTATTATTTTATATGTTATATCCCAAGGGGTGATATGTACTGTTTCAAAAGCTCTATGGTTACTTCATGCCAACAAATGATTTGTAAAATACATCTTTGACTTTGATTCGTAGCA